CCCAGCCATGGTTGTACTGGATTCCAGCACCACTCCCACCCCTGTCTGTCTCCACACAGCCATCTCCAGTCCTCTTCCCAGTTCTGATCTCCAAAGCCCGAGTTCCAGCACCCAGCCCTTGTCAGTTCTGGCAGACATGTGTGTCAGGCTAGGGAGCACAGGGTGGTGGCACTGACCATCTGTGCAGTTCTCCCTCTGCTCTGGCTGCTTCAAAACAGGTTGCTGCGCTCTCCTCAAAGGCTCTGAAGCTCCCCTTCTATCTTTGCTGACCTCCCTGCCGGTGAGGGGGCTTCCCAGGTTGCAGGAACCTTTCCTTTTTCATAGCTCCCTCCCAATGTTGCAGGTCCCATCCCGATTCCTTTCTTGCTTCCTTTTCTTCTTTTTTTTCTTTTTTCCCACCCAGTTACGTGGAGATTTTCTTGCCCTTTCAGCAGTCTGAGGTCTTCTGCCAGCGTTCAGTAGATATCCTGTGAGAATTGTTTCACGTGTAGATGTATTTTTGATGTATTTGTGGGAGAGGGTGAACTTCACATCCTGCTACTCCGATATCTTGATCTCTCCCTGTGATCGATTTCTAATCTCATAGAATTGTGGTTGGAAAAGCTGCTTGATATGATTTCAATTTTCTTAAATTTACCAAGGTTTGCTTTGTAGCCCAGCATGTGGTCAATCCTGGAGAATGTTCCGTGTGCACTTGAGAAGAATGTATATTCTGCTGCTTTTGGATGGAATCCTCTATAAATATCAGTTGAGTTCATCTGGTCTTATGTGTCATTCAAGGCCTCTGTTTCCTTATTGATTTTCTGTCTGGATGATCTGTCCATTGATGAAAGTGGGGGGTTAAGGGCTCCCACTATTATCATGTTACTGTTGATTTCTCCTTTTATGACTGTTAGTATTTGCTTTATATATTGAGGTGCTCCTATGTTGGGTGCACATATAATTGTTATATCTTCTTGGACTGATCCCTTGATCATTATGTAGTGTCCTTCTTTGTCTCTAGTAATAGTCTTTCTTTCAAAGTCTACTTTGTCTGATATGAATATTGCTACTCCAGCTTTCTTCTGATTTCCATTTGCATGGAGTACCTTTTTCTATCCCCTCGTTTTCAGTCTGTATGTGTTCCTAGATCTGAAGTGTGAGTCTCTTGTAGACAGCATATATATGGGACTTGTTTTTGTATCCATTTGGTCAGTCTGTGTCTTTTTGTTGAAGCATTTAATCCATTTACATTTAAGGTAATTATCAATATGTATGTTCTTATTGCCATTTTGTTAATTTTTAAAAATAAATTTATTTTTATTTATTTTGGGCTGTGTTGGGTCTTTGCTGCGCGCGGGCTTTCTCTAGTTGCGGCGAGTGGGGGCTACTCTTCATTGCAGTGCGTGGGCTTCTCATTGCAGTGGCTTCTCTTGTTGCGGAGCACAGGCTCTAGAGAGCAGGCTCAGTAGTTGTGGCGCGTGGGCTTAGTTGCTCTGAGGCATGTGGGATTTTCCTGGACCAGGGCTCAAACCCGTGTCCCCTGCACTGGCAGGTGGATTCTTAACCACTGCACCACCAGGGAAGCCCTTGTTAATTGTTTTGAATTTTTTTGTTTTTTATTTTTGCGTTACGCGGGCCTCTCCCGTTGCGTAGCACAGTCTCCAGACACGCAGGCTTAGCGGCCATGGCTCACGGGCCCAGCCGCTCTGTGGCATGTGGGATCCTCCCGGACTGGGGCACGAACCTGTGTCCCCTGCATCGGCAGGCGGACTCTCAACCACTGTGCCACTAGAGAAGCCCTTGAATTTGTTTTTGTAGGTCTTTTTCCTTCCCTTCCTCTTTGTTCTCTTTTCCTGTGATTTGATGACTATCTTCAGTGTTGAGTTTGGATTCCTTTTTCTTTTTTGTGTATGTATCTAGTGTAGAGTAGATTTTTGGTTTTCAGTTACCATGGGGTTCTGATATTGTAGTCTGTATATATATGCAAGCTTGCTTTTTAAGTTTCTGGTTTCTTAATTTCCAGTACATTTCCAATATCCTGCATTTGTACTCTCCTCTCTTCATAATTGCTAGTTTTGATATTATATTTGTGTGTGGATGATTTCCTACCTTTATTGTATGTTTGCCTTTACCAGTGAGCTTTCCCATTCATCATTTTCTTATTTCTAGTTGTGGCCTTTTCTTTTCTGCCTAGAGAAGTTCCTTTAGCATTTGTTGTAAAACTGGTTTGGTGGTGCTGAATTGTCTTAGATTTTGCTTGTCTGTAAAGCTTTTGATTTCTCTGTCAGATCTGAATGAGAGCCTTGCTGGGTTGAGTATTCTTGGTTGTAGGTTTTTCCCTTTTATTGCTTTAAAAATATCATACCAGTCCTTTCTGGCCTGCAGAGTTTCTGCTGAAAAATCAGCTGATAACCTTATGGGGATTCCCTTGTATGTTACTTGTTTGTTTCCCCTTGTTGCTTTTAATATTTTCTCTTTAATTTTTGTCAATTTGATTAATATGTGTCGATGTATTCCTCCTTTCCTGTGTTAGGGAAGTTTTCAGCCATTAACTCTTCAAATATTTTCTCATGCCCTTTCTCTCTCTTCTCCTTCTGGGACCCTTATAATGCAAATGGTGCATTTAATGTTGTTCCAGAGGTTCATCTAGTGTATTTTCACTGCCCTAAAAATCCTCTGTTCTATCTGTTCATCCCCCTCTAACTCCTGGCAACCTTTTTACTGTTTCCATCGTTTTGCCTTTTCCAGAATCATACATTTAGAACCATATATTTGGAATCATATAGTGTGTAGCCTCTTCAGATTGGCTTCTTTCACTTAGTAATATGCATTTAAGGTTGCTCCATTTCTTTTTGTGGCTTGATAGCTCATTTCTTTTTGGCACTGAATAATATTCCATTGCCAGGATGTACCACACTGCCATTTATCCATTAACCTACTGAAGGGACATGTTAGTTGCTTCCAAGTTTTGGCAATTCTAAATAAAGCTTGCATCAACATCCCTGTGCAGGTTTTTGTGTGGATATAAGGTTTCAGCTCCTTGGGGTAAATACCAAAGAGTGTGATTGCTGCATAGGATGGGAAGAGTATGTTTAGTTGTGTAAGAAACTGCAAAACTCTCTTCCACAGTGGCTGTGCCATTTCACATTCCCACCAGCAATGAATGAGAGTCCCTGTTGCTCCACATCCTTGCTAGCATTTGGTGTTGTCAGTGTTCTGGATTTTGGCCTTTCTAATAGGTGTGCAGTGGTATCTCATTGTTGTTTTAATTTGTATTTCCCTGATTGACATGATGTTGAGCATCTTTTCATGTGCTTATTTACCATCTGTGTGTGTGTATATATATATATGTATATATATATATATATACACATATCTATATAATTTTTTTGTGAGATATTTGTTAAAATGTTTGGCTCACTTTTTAATCAGGTTGTTTGTTTTCTTATTGTTTAATTTTAAGAGGTTTTTTTTTTTTTTAACAGTCCTTTATCAGATGTGTGTTTTACAAATATTTTCTCCCAGTCTCTGGTTTGTCTTCTAATTCTCTTGATACTGTACTTCACAGAACAGAATTTTTTAATTTCCATGAAATCCAGCTTATCAATTATTTCTCTCATGGATTGTGTCTTTGGTGATGTGTCTAAAAAGGCATCACCACACTCAAGGTCATTAGGTTTCTCCTGTTATTTTCTAAGAGTTTTATAGTTTTGAATTTTACATTTAGGTCTACGATCCATTTGGAGTTAATTTTTGTGACAGGTGTAGGGTTTGTGTTCAGATTCTTATTTTTGGTTTTGGATGTATACTTGTTCCAATACCATTTGTTGACCAGATTTTCTCTGCTCCATTATAGTGCCTTTGCTCCTTTGTCAACGATCAGTTGACTATATTTATGGGGGTATATTTCTGGGCTCCTTATTCTGTTCTGTTGATCTATTCACCTGTGTGTGTTTCACCAGTACCACGCTTAGACATCTTTTTTAAAAGTCACAGTGGAAGTAAGCCTTGGCTTTGGCTGTGGTAGGACCTCCATGCAGTTTCTTCTCTCTGAGCTTCAGCTCCAGGAGGAGGTTGGAGCTGAACTCTAGGAACTCCTAACATGCTGCTGTCGCGCTTCTCAAACTGCCTGGGGAAGGACTAGTTTTGTTTCGTCTTTTGAACTTCCAGTCTGCTGCAGACTCTTCCCTTTGTAGAGTACAATAAAATGACTTACTAGGAGATGATCGTGTGCTTGTACGGTCATAGTACTGTCAAATCACTATACAAGGTTCTAAAGTCTCAGTTTCTGAACTTGCTTTGTCACAGACTGCTAAGTGGACCGCACTTTGGTTATACTGTCCTGCACAGTGGGTGCAGGTTGGAGAGATGCCTGTCTAGCCAGAGCTTCTTGGGAGAACAGGAGCTCAGCTGGGGCTTGGAAATTGACTTGTTCCAGGGAATGTGGTTGTCAGGAGGGGCTCTTTCTTATCTCCCATGGGATCAGACCCCTTCATGAGCCCCAGTCTACCCCCGTCCTCTTTTTTCAGCATATTCCTCACAGTGACCCCCTCCCATTTGAAGGCAGAGGGACAACTTGGGGTGGCAGGGGCCCTGAGAAGGGGCCGTAATAGTTGGCCTGGAGGGCCAAGGTTGGAGCAGGGCGTGCTGCTCTGGACGGGTCTGAACGCCATTTCTCAGGGAAGTAGGGAGAAGGGTGTGAGTGGCTGGTGGTGATATTGGCATGGACTCTGGAGCATGTCTGAGAGTTCCAACTTTAAAACCCTGAGACCATAAGACCTTAGGACATTGGAATCTTCAAATTGTGGAGTCACAGGCTGTTAGAACTGAAGGGACTGCAGGGGTCACCTCCGAGCCGAGCTGTTCACCTGCTTCTCTTCCCTGGCGCCTGGCCCAGATTTGAGCTACAGGTGTCTGTCCTGCCTTTAGCTTGGAGTCCTTGGGTTGCCACAGTATGGGTGAGTAGAGGTTCTTTGGGTGCCCTTGGCTTACTCCAGGTGCCCCGCTCTGTTTGGAAGTTTCAGACACTGTGTGCTCCGTTTGACTGAGAACAACTCCCAGCCCTTGATGACCAAGCTGCAGTGGCTCTTCGCCTTCCTGGAGCACAGCCAGGTGAGCACAGGGGGGGTCGGGGGTGCTGGAGAGGAGGCCCGGTCTGACCCCTCCCCTTCCCCACGACCTGCCTGCATCTGGCTGTGGGCCCCCACTTTCTGGTGTGAGTTGTTGGGCCCCAGTCCAGGCTGGCATGGGTTCACGGCTAAAGCCCAAGGGGCCGATTCAGCGTCCTTACTGGGCAGGCGAGGGAGTGCCTCCTGAGCCCCTCTGTGCTGTGCTGCCCACATCTCTCCCAGCAGTGGTTCAGTCCATTCTATTAGGTGTTGCTTTGCTGGTCTGCTGGCATTTTTGAGCACTCATATTGCCTGCCAGGCACCCTGAGGGCTGTATTTGTTTTAGTCCCTGTCTCTGCCCTCCTGGAACCTAAAGCCCTTGGCCAGGCAGGCATTATGCCAGGCCCTGTGCGGGGGCACAGAGATGAGTCAGCCACAGTCCTGCCTCCACGGAGCGCATAGTCTGGTGGGGAAGAGGAACCTGCAGATAGCAGCTGTAGTGCTTGAGCAGAGGGAAACGCGAGTGTAGTGTGCGTGTTAGGGAGGAAGAGTTGATCGTGATGGGCATGGGGGCTCTTGGGAAGACACTGTGGGACAGGTGACACTAACTGCACCTGGGACTTGAACTCTATAGCTAAGCTCCTGACAGGGGAGAAGGGTGTTTCAGGCAGAGGGAATGGCAATGAACAAGGGCCTGGAGTGACATGTGAGGTGTGTCCGGGAGGAGCAGACTCCCGGAGGACTGTTCACCTCCGTGACCCGACGTCCTGATTATAGGCTGCGTGGCCTTGGTGGGAAGAGTCAGGGAAGGGGGAGGACTTCAGTGGGGAGGCTGGAAGTTTGGGGCAGCGAGTCCCCAGGGCCATCCTCAGGCCTAGCATACTGTGGCGCTGGTTGGTGAGTGGCCCTGGCTCCTGGCCCTGTCTTTCTCCCTCCTTGGTCCTAGCGGCCTGCCATTTCTCCAGAGAACTTTCTATCTGCATCCTGGACACCCTGGTTCAGCCCTGGCACCCAGCAGGACTGCTCGGAGTACCTGAAGTACCTGCTGGATCGGTAAGGGAGGCCAGGCCTGGCTCTGCACGGGGGCCTCCAGGTCTGGAGAGGGTGCTCGTGGGAAAGCCCCCTCCCCCTGGGCTGTGTTGTCTCTTCCTGGAAACGGGGGCACAGCCCTGCGCTTGGGAAAGGCTTGGAGCAGATGTGTGTCGTGAGTGTGGGGACGGGGGCCGAGTGGGAGGGGAGTTTTGGAGATGCTGACATGAGCCGTGACTGGGAGGGTAAGTGTGTGTTTGTACACTATGCAGTGCTTGCCTGAGCGTGCACGTGTGTGTTTTCTCATCAGCTCTCTGGGGGCACATGCACGTCTTTTTGTGGCAGGTTTGTGAGCCTCGTGCAGGTAAGTATGTAGCACGTGTGCCTGGCTTATGAGTGCATGTGCTCGGATGCCGTTTTGTACACGCATATGTATGTTCCCCGTGCCTTCTCCTGCATGCGTGTAAACACGTGGCCAGCTGAGTAAGGCAGATGCACAGGTCAGGCCAGTGCACTGGGGATGGGTCTGTGTGTATGGACGAAGGCCCTTTGCTCCCTGCACCAGGCTGCACGAAGAGGAGAAAACGGGGACGAGGATCTGCCAAAAGCTGAAGCAGTCCAGCTCGCCCTCCCCGCCCGAGGAGCCCCCCAGCCCGAGTCCAACCTCGGTGGAGAAGATGTTCGGGGGCAAGATTGTGACTCGGATATGCTGTCTCCGCTGCCTTAACATCTCCACCAGGGAGGAGGCGTTCACGGACCTCTCTCTCGCCTTTCCCCCACCTGAGCGCTGCCGCCGCCTGGGCTCAGTGATGCTCCCCGCAGAGGACGTCGGCGCCCAGGAGCTCCCTTCGCCATCGCGAGCCCAGGCGCCAAGCAGGGCGGCTCCTCGGAGGCAGAGGAAACACTGCATCACAGGGGACGTTCCCCCCACCGTCCTGAACATTGAAGGCCTGGGCCCCCAGGGCCCCGGGGGGCAGAGCAGTCAGGAGGAGGCAGCAAAGGAGGAGGAAGAGAAGGAGGAGAAGGCGGAGAAGGTGGAGAAGGAGGAGGAGAAAGTGGAGAAGGAGGAGAAAGTGGAGAAGGAGGAGGAGAAAGTGGAGAAGGAGGAGGAGAAAGTGGAGAAGGAGGAGGAGAAAGTGGAGAAGGAGGAGGAGAAGGAGAAGGAGGCCGAGAAGGAGAAGGAGGCCGAGGAGGAGGAGGACGGCCTGGGCCCAGGGACCCTCAGAAATGCTTCTGCCCCCTCTGGGGAGGGTTCCCGCTCGGTCTTGGACCTGGTCAACTACTTCCTGTCGCCCGAGAGGCTGACGGCAGAGAACCGCTACCGCTGCGAGTCCTGCGCCTCCCTGCAGGATGCCGAGAAGGTGGTGGAGCTGAGCCAGGGGCCGCGCTACCTCATCCTGACCCTGCTGCGCTTCTCCTTCGACCTGCGCACCATGCGGCGCCGCAAGATCCTGGACGACGTCTCCATCCCCCTGCTGCTGCGGCTGCCGCTGGCCGGGGGCCGGGGCCAGGCCTACGACCTCTGCAGCGTCGTGGTGCACTCTGGGGTGTCCTCGGAGAGCGGCCACTACTACTGCTATGCCCGCGAGGGTGTGGCCCGCCCAGCCCCAAACGCGGGAGCGGCTGACGGGCCCGAGCCCGACAACCAGTGGTACTTGTTCAACGACACCCGGGTGTCCTTCTCCTCCTTTGAGTCTGTCAGCAACGTCACCTCCTTCTTCCCCAAGGACACCGCCTACGTGCTCTTTTATCGGCAGCGGCCCCGGGAGGGGCCTGAGGCTGAGCCTGGCTCTCCCCGAGCCCGGGCAGAGCCCACCCTCCACAAAGACTTGATGGAAGCCATTTCCAAAGACAACATCCTTTTCCTGCAGGTGAGCAGACCCTGGGGGCGGAGGGGCTTCCCGGCACCCACCGGCTCAGATGGTGACGGCTCCTCTTTTGGAGCCTGTTCCTTTTTCCCTTGATCCGTTCAGCTATCACTCAGTGCTGGGGAAGATTGGTGGGCCAGACAGACGTAGCCCCATACTTCAGAGGAACAGACATGAGGAATGATCAGTTTTTTATTAAGGTGTCATAAGTGTGCTGGAGGAGGGGCTCTGTGAGTAGTGGATACGAGCGGATGGGGGGGCCGCCCGACTCACTGAGCCTCTTCTCTCTGAGCCTTCGGCTCCACTCTGTAGAGTCAAGGGTGGTATCAAAATACTTTGCTGCTGAAACAGCCAGTGTGCGGACCAGCATGAGGAGTGCTGCCGCAGGCCGCCGGTGTGGGCACGTCAGGACCCCTGGCCAGCAGCACCTGCTTGCCGTGGGGACCCTGGCCCTGCTTTTGCATTTCTGCTGAGCTGTCCAGGTGGAGGCAGGGCTGGGCCCGTGGTAAGAAGGCGCATCCACGGCTGGCCTCAGTTCAGCAGGAGGAAGAGCTTCCTCGCTGGCAGAGGGTTCCTCGTGCCCTGAGAGGCAGAGGCTGGGCAGCCACTCCAGGAAGCCTGCAGAAGGGTCCCTGAGGGCTATGAGGTGACCTTTGATATGCACCTCCTGCTTTCTGGTGCCACGTCAGGCCCTTGTCAGCTGTTCACAGTCCAGTTAGTAGAAATGAGTTCCTTTCCTGCTGGGAGGTTTTTTTTTCCTTCTTTTTTTTTGTGGTACACGGGCCTCTCACTGCCGTGGCCTCTCCCGTTGCGGAGCACAGGCTCCGGACGCGCAGGCTCGGCGGCCATGGCTCATGGGCCCAGCTGCTCTGCGGCAGTGGGATCTTCCCGGACCGGGGCACGAACCCGTGTCCCCTGCATCGGCAGGCGGACTCCCAACCACTGCGCCACCAGGGAAGCCCCACTGGGAGTGTCTATTTGGGGGAGGAGGAAGAATGCTTTGGAAGCCTAGCTACAGGATGGCTATGGGTCCGTCCCACCCATCCTCCCACTAAGCTGGCATGCCTCTAGGGCAGAAGCTGTGGCTCCTCTGCGCCTGGCCCTGGGGACTGGGGTGGTGCTTGGAAGGGCTGGGTGGCATTGGGGGCGCAGGGAGGACCTGAGGCTGCAGAGCCTGACTGACCGACCGTTAAGCTTCTGGCCCCACCCCCATCTGTATTTCCAGGAGCAGGAGAAGGAGGCGCGGAGCAGGGCGGCCTACATCTCTGCACTCCCCACGTCTCCACACTGGGGGAGGGGCTTTGACGAAGACAAAGATGAGGATGAAGGCCCTCCGGGGGGCTGCAGCCCTGCAGGTGGCAGCGGTGACTTCCACAGACTGGTCTTCTAATGGGAACCCTCATCCCCTGGCCTGCTAAGCACTTGTGAGGGTGCCACAGGCAACCTCAGTGGGGGGGACCCAGGTCCCAGGCAGAGGTGCTCGGCCAGGTTGGGTCTGAGGGAGGCTGCGCAGGTCCAGTCCTGAAGGCAGGCCCTTCCGAGGGCCAGAGAGATGGAGCGGGGGGGGGCTCCTGGGCCCCTGCCCTCAGCCCGAAGGGCACACGGAGATTCACTCAGATACGGAGGTGAGACCCAAGCCCCTTAAACCGGGCCTCAGGCCCCAACAGTGGGATCAGCCCCGTTAAGACTTACTGACACCCAAGTGTCCTGGTCAGCTTGAAGCAGCTGAGATGGACACTCTCTGGGCCTTGTCCCCTACCCGCTGCAGGCTATCCCACAGGGCTGAACGTCACAGCGCTGGTGTTTTGCCCTCAAGTAGCAGTTCCTTCCCAGCTCCTTTCAGACAGACAATCTTGTTTCTCTGTGGTATACAAAGCAGAGGCAGATCCAAGCCCTAGCACAAAGAAGGCAGCTGTGTGTCACCCCTCTGGCCGGCTTCTGGTTTCTCTGAGGGGCCTGAGGCAACGTCTGTGGGTGGGTGCCTACACTGTTTGTACTTTTTTTTGAGAGGCGTGTAGGTGGGAAGCAGCCTGGCACAGGACCAGAGACTGTCCTCCTGACACCAAGCAACAACGCACAGAGGGGAGGACAGCCTCTTAAGCCTCTCTCCTGCCTCAGTGCCTGAGATGCCACCATTTGCATCCCCCTTCTGGTTAAGAGAGAGCGCGTCCTTAGGTTCCTGCAAGTATGTTTCTGTTTCTCACGACATCGGTCCTGAGGGAAGCTGGCTGGCTCAGCGCCTCAGCAGTTGGCCGTCATCACGGGGCCGGTCTGGTGAGGAGCAAATAGTGACCTCATTGTGCCCTGACCCTGCTGTACCCCTTCTAAATGGAGAGAAGAGAACCAGGGTCTCAAACAGGAATAAAAATAGGTTCTCTGAAGCCTTTAAAGCCGTCGTTCTTCCCGCCTCAGACACTGGCTGGCTGTGAGGTAGGCTCTAACCCTTGGTTTCTTGCTGTGTCTGGACAGGAAGGAGTGGACACCACCCCCTGCCCTGCTGACTTGTGTGCTGCCCCAGGGGAGGCAAGCATGCCCTGCACTGAAGTGCTGTGTAACTCAATCATCAATTAATCAACAGTGAGGACTGGTGGTGGGGATGTGCCCAGATAGATAGATAGATAGGGGTGGAGGGGTGGGTGCACAGGCTGGGGGCCACCCTAACAGGATACTGTTAAGGGACTGATCTGTCAGGTGGGGCTGGAGCTCCTCCAGACCCCAGGAACTCTGGGCTGCTCAGAGACTGCTGCTGCTACCACATTCCTCCCTTCTTACCTCTGAGAATCTGGGGTGGGGTGGGCTGGGCTCAGGCCGGGAGGAAAGTAGGCGGCAGCCCTCAGGTTCCAGCCATCTTGGAGCTTGGGACTGCAGTGGCCTGGCCGGGGGCTTCAGGGGCTGCAGGTGGAGGAGTTTTGGCCCAAAAGCCATAGACCCTTGAGACCTCAGGGACCAGCGAAAGTGGGCCGACAGTCGTCTGTCAGAGACAGAGTCAGTCATGCTCAGAATTCATCTCTTTGGTCCATTGAGCCTCCTAAGAAAGATGAATTGGCAGATGTTACTACAATTTCCATTTCATGCACCAGGAGTACAATTTCCGAGGTCAGGAAGATTCACATGTGTTCTCAGCCAAGAAAGGTACCCAGTTATTTCCTGTTCAAATGAAAGTGGAGCAGACTGGCACAGCGAGCCGGGATCCCAGTGTGTGTGCATTCCATCCCCAGCCCCTCCGGACGAGACACACTCAGCAGCCCTCCTGGTTGCGTCTAATGGACTTTATTGTTGTCCAGACCCAACACCATAGTAAAAAGGGACCTGCAAGCTCCAGGCCTGTACCATGTGTCACCACAGCGAAAACAGGACCCATGTGAACACGTTCCCACCCCTCCCCAGACCTACTCACAGGATAAATACGTGTTACAAATTTTTTTTAAAAAAGAAAACAGAATAAATTAATAACTTAAGTGATTAGGCACCAACAGTGATTTGAAAAATTAAATGTCAATTTTAAATGGTAAGAGGGCCAGAAACCTAAGACTGGGCTTCTTCCAGCCCATTTTCTCTTCCCGACAAAGCAACGATTCTGTGGGAAATGATTCTAAATTTCAAGACACATGTAACCAACAAACACATAAGAACACACACCACCAAATATCACATGACAGCCTGAATCTCCAGGGGGACCCCTCATCAGGCAGCCCACCTGGCCCCAAAGAGCTTGGTGCGTTCCGGAAGGAGGGGGCTTTAGAGCTCCTGCGCTCAGCCTCCTTCCCCCACGTTTTGCAGAAGGGCCAGAGGGGGAAGTTCGTGCCAATTTCCCTCCTGCCCGGCACTCTGTTTCCAGAGCCCTGTCACAGGGGTGTGGGTCAGCCGCAGCTTGCGGCTGAGGCCTTAGCCCTGTGCCAGGTAAATCCCTTGAGAACAGCTGTGCTTCTGTCCTAGGAATGGGACATATTTGAACGGTTTCGAATGTAGAAGTTACTGAAATCAGTCTAGGGAGGGGACTGGGTTAACTGGCCAGTGCTCTGGGTGCTGCCTATCCCTGGTGATCCAGACCCTCGAGAGAGAAGTTACAGAGCAGGGAGTAGCCACAGAAGAGGCCTCAGGGCCCTTCTTCACCAAGGTGGGAAGGAGACACAAGCTCCATACCACTCCTTGCAGAGGTGGAGCTGGAAGGGGGCAAGAACAGCTGCTTCTCTGAGGAGCACCAAGCAGGACGAGGCCTGTGTGAGCTATGCTGGCTGACAAGGCATCCTGGGATCTCAGTCCTTGCCAGGCCACCAGGAGAGGTGGATTCTGACCCACTGAAGGCCAAAGGACCAGTTCTTTACACTGACCAGACAGGGGAATATTAGACACCTTGGTACTTGGGGCTCTTGAGCCAGTCTCTGCTTTCAACAGGCCAATTTTCTCTTCTCTTGTACTTCCTCCCGTCTCTACTCTTGCCTCCACCCGAAGGGTTTGGGGGTTATAGGAACCAAGAACTGGAGGGAGGCCTCCTTGGTGGTTAGATTTGAACACCTCAGTCTCTCAAGACTCCACCCAGTTTCATTCACAACATGGCACATTCAGAAAATGGTGACATTATTAGGGCACCTTGCGATCAATAGGGGAGGATGCTGGGAACTGAGGGTACCAGTACCTGGGCCCACCTGTAGCCTATGGGGGCACAGGGGTGGCGCCATTCAAAGCTCTGCCACGTGAGACCCTTTGCAGAGGGCCTTAAAGGGACACAGGGCTGGGCAGAGTGAACCACCAAACCCTGCCCAGGGTAGGTCACTGCCACCACCATTACCATTTCACCTGAGGGGACACCAAGGCATGGCCTCACTGCTTCTGAGAGGCTGGGCCCATACTCCCAAAGGTCTGTTCCCAAAGCACAAGGTTCTCTAAGTCTCTCTGTCCATCTTCCTCCACCGGATCCCAGCCTTGCCCTCCTTCCCTCTCAAAATCTGACCCTTCTTCCTCTAAGGCCCCTGTCAGGCACCCCCTTTTCCTAGAAACCACCTTCCCTGATCTCCACCCCTTCGCCACTCCTGCCCCCAGCACCAACCTCCTAGAGAATAAGCCTCGATCTCTCTGCACATTATCAGCATTTTAAGTGTCTCTCATGGCCATTACCAATGTGTCCTTGTCTTTTTTCTCATCGACTCTGACCTTCTCAAATACAAAGTCTGATTAATTCCTGTGTTCTCAGTGCCTAGCCCAGACCTGGCCATAGCAGCCATTAATGAATGCTTATTGAATTGATATGACTAATACTAGGAGGAAAGGGGCTACTGTTGAGAAAATTTCTCCCGGGATGGAGTAAGGTCAGGCCGCAGGCCTGGGGTGTGCGTGTTTACACAGGCTCACAGGAGCAGAAAGGTGAGCGGTAGCCACCTCCCTTAAATAGGATGGGAAGTCATTTTTTTTTTTTTTTTTTTTTGGAGGGAGGAAAGTCTGTTCACCCCAGGGTAGGATGAAACATTTGGTCTACCCACGTTGCCTCTGAAACTCTTAAAAATTTGGCCAAGAACTTTAACATAAAAGAGCCCCCCCTCCCCAGACTTAGGAGAAAAGAGCCTGGCGTGATGCCCTTCCTCCTGTCCCTGGCAAAGGTGGGCAGAGGGTGATGCTGATTTGGTGGCCTTTTAAGCCATGGGAGGAGAGGCCTGCCCTCTCCTGTCCCTGTAGCTAGGCACCTGGGATTCGACAGGGCAACAGAGGGTGACGTGAGCTGAGAACACACTCTGGCCTGTCACCAGGCCACACTTGTACTTCCTGGGGACCTGACACAAAACTCAACCAAACGGCACAAGCCGCCGGCCACTCCCCCGCGTCGTCCACTAGGCTCTGTTCCGCTCTGCTTGCTCCTTTGCCCTGCTCTGCCCGCCACCCATCAGTCCTGGGAGCTGCGCTCGCCTGCGGCCATGCACATCGCTCCCCTGACCACCACACCAGTCCTCACGTTCTGCGCCACCCTGCATCTCCACGGCACTGCCCGGGCTCGCCACCAGGCCCTCCGGATGTACTCAACCACTAGCTGCGCCTCCCCCCCCCCCCCCCCCCCCCCCCCCCCCCCCGCCCACGCACCTCCACCCCGCACACTGCGTCGCCTTCCCACAGCTCCGCCGGCCCCCCACCACCACCACATCGGCGCTCCCACCCCACGCGCTGCACCGCCCAGCACAGTCCGAGCTTCGTGGGTGCGGCGCTCTTGGCTGGGTGGGGTCTCGGGGAAGAGGACTATGCTCTGTCCCAGAGCGGCAGAGCCGGGCCTGTGGCCCCACAGTCCCGGGGGCCGGGCCCCGCAGTGTCTTCGTCGCCCCATCTCCTGCTCCTTGTTCTGGGTTGCCCATCATCCTCAGTCTTCCCCTCCTGCTGTCCTTGTCCTTCTGCCTCTCCCACCCGGCAACAGCTGCACTGCCACTTGGCCTGCAAATGGGGGACCACAGCAGGTACCCACTGCCCTCCTGCATCTGGGGGTCTAACTCCTTTGTCCCTCAAGACCACCTCTGACCTTCCTCCTCGACTCCTTCATCTTTTGGTGGCCTTGCCTCTCCCCTGCCAAGAAAGACAGGGCTGAAGAAGTCTGTATCCACCTTGGTCTGCTGGTCCTTGGCTCCCTGGGTCAGCGAGACGACTTGGCTTCTTCCGGGACTGGGGGAGAGGTAGGCCAGTAGCGGGAGGGACAGGGGCTGAGAGCTGTGCCCAAAGGTGAGGTGTGGAATCTGGCTCAGAGCCCCAGCCCCTCCCTCCACACGTCTGGTAGGTATTCGGGTCTAAAGGGCAGGAAGAGGCTGAAGGATGCTTTTTGGCAATAGCTCTAACTAAGGTGGGTAGAGGCATGGCCATTGCTGATAAAAATCAAAGGTGGGCCCCGAGTGAGCCGAGGAAGCGCCTCGATCAGGCCCTCACCTCCCAGGGGAAGGGGTCAGGGTTCCTGATGTCAAGTGCTTTGAAGGCCAGAGTGGCAGAGTAGAGAGGGGGTGGGCAGGAGGGCGCGCTGGAGAGGAGAAGGGGGAGACAGACGGGGAGGCATCGGCTCTGGAGACGCCGCCTCCTGGCCCCTCCCTGGGGCGGTGGCCCGCGCGTCACAGCTTGGCCCCCTTGGAGGGCTCCGAGGACTGCCGCACGTCTGTCCACTCCTGCATGGTGCTCTGCAGGGCCTGGGTCTTCTCCTTGTCCACTTGGACGTAGTCCACCTTCTCGTCGGAAGTGACTGATGACGTGGATGGCTGGGGGACAGAGCGGGGAAGTGAAGTGGCTGTGAGTTATCAGTAACGTGGGGAGCGGGCGCGCGGCACTTCCTGAGTCGTTTCCCGGGAGAGGAGGTGGGGCTCTACATAGCTGCCTCTCTGACCTGCCTTTTCTTTCTGAAAGTGGCCTGTAAGGCCTGAACTCCAAACCACACCATCCCTCCTGTTTGATGCAACAGCCCCTGCCTGCCGTCCCAATGTCCCAGCTCCTGGGGGGGACCCAGGCCCTTCCTTGGCCTGATGGATGGCTCCAGGCTTTCACCTGCGCCTCCACCCACCTCCCTGTGGCCACTTGTCCAGAGGAAGGACTGTGCCGGGTGCCAACAAGCACCAGCCATAGGGCTTTGTGTGTGGCTCGCTGTGAGCGCACAGCCATCCTGTGCGGGACGCTGTGCCGGGGCTGCTGTCTGGACTGGGCAACTAAGTGTGCTTCCTGAGGGGGGCCTTTCCCGGGCCCGGAAGCCCTTCTGCAGGCTGCACCTGGACAGCGAGTTCTCAAAGAAGAACTCAGGACCAGGACACAGGATCCCCGAGTCTCGGCTCTGTCGTGGGTTCACACGTGACCTCAAGCAGCTCGTGTCTCCGTGTGCATTCGTTCGCCCATCCGCACGACGGGGGGTGGGCTGACGGATGCGGTCCTACGGGCTCAGGGTGCCTGTGTCCTGAGAGTGAGGGCGCGTGAGCCCCCGGAGACCCAGGCTACAGCACGGCCCAGTCACAGAAGCAGAGTGCCGCCGGCCTGCGCTGAAGGCAGCTGGCCTCCGGGACCCCTCCCCCAGGGCCGCCAAAGCCCGGACTGACACCCGCCCACCCGCCCCAGGCACCTTGCGGTGGGGGCTTGGGGAGCTCGGCTGGAAGTCCAGGGCCAGATAATCCACGCTGCCAGTGCTCTTCTTAGGGGCCGGACTGTTGGTGCCACTGGGAATGGGAGATGCAGACACTGGGTTTTGCTATCACAAAGGAGGGAAAGACCATTAGTTAGTTTAGGAAACAGATTAACCCACCACCGGGGAAAAAAACACCTCTGGGAGTAAGAGCAACTAGCTAGCTCAGTGAGTGCCGACTCTGCCCTGCACTGCTCCGGGGACTGCTCACGCTCTTGTCTAAACCCCCACAACAATCTTGTGACACAGGTATTAGTACTGTTCTTAGTTTTTAAAACGCAGATAGAACTCTGGTTTGGAGACGTAAAGCAACTTGCCCGTGGCTGCACAGCTGGTGAGCAGGGATGACTACCCCGCTGTGCCACGCTGCCTCCCTTCCAGGGCATCAGGCCGCGTCTCACCTGTGGTCTCCCGGACAGACCAGCCCCCGCTTGCTGGCCCCAAGAAGGGAGCACATGTCCTTTACGCACTGGACCCTGGAAGGGTTTCTGTTGCACCAGATCTGCTTCTCTGGGGCTCCCACCCATGGCCCGGAGCGGGGTTGTCACACCGCAGCGGCCTGTCCCTCCAGCTCCAGCTCCTCAGGGGTCTCAACAGAGGGGCCTCATCCCCAGGCGGCACAAAGCCCCAGTCCCTCAGAGGACACGCTCCACGGTCCCGTCTCATCCAGGCATCAAGACCAACCTGTCTGGCACTTTCCTGAAGACACCTTCTAATGAGAAATGCAATAAATAGTCCTATGCTTTGTGTTTTTTTTGGCTGCTTTATTGATCGGTAGATTTGTTCTATTTATGCAGCAACTACCAGGTGCTGGGCAGCTACTCCCTTTGCACTGGGAATCTCAGAGGGCAGAACCCTGTGTTTATTCCCTCTGTGAGGGCCTTCACCACACCGAGTCATGCACACGTGTGCTTCCCCACCGCTGAGTGGGGTCACACACACTCAATAGGCACACTCCCACACCTCCTCATGGTCATGGGAACAACGGGATAAGGAAATGAAGAGATCTTTTAGTTTTGAAAGATTTTAACAGGATAGAACAAGGAAGTTAATTCTGATGGCTGCTCTAGTTCTTCTCTTCAGGCCCCTGATGACTATTCTGAAACACCAGCTAACCACTTGGCCTGCTAACTCTTCTGGGGCTCCCTCCTGCCCCAGCACAAGTGCAGACTTCCCAAGACAGCATTCGGGGTCCTTCATGATCTGACTCCAGTCCAACCTCCCCGCCTGCCCACTCCACCTTCACTCAGAGTTAATGACCATCATTCTCCGTGTTCCTGTCTGCACGGCCACTCCACCTCAGCGCCTCCCCTTTCCCTAGTCCGGTGTGATCGCCCATCCTGCGGGTGCAGCACCGCCTCTCCAGGGACACCGACCATGCCACCTGTGTTACAGTCGTGAGAGAGGCAGGCCTTCTCTGCCCCTTAAGAGAGCAGCCTCCTTGAGGGCAGGGACCGCGTCTTCCTTGCCTCTGACGATGACCCCACAGTGCTCGACACGTATGTGCTCAAGACGGATTTGCAGCAGCAAACTAAATCACAAATAATGTGGGTGGCCTGAGGCCGGGGTGAATTAGTGAGCTGGGAAGTGGAGGAGTGAGAGGTGGGTTCCAGGGGACCCCAGAGGACTCACCATAGGGACGTAGTTCTCTTCACTGTCTCCCGAGTCCGTGCTGGTGATGCTCTGTGTGGAGATGGGGCGGCAGTACTGGGTGGATCCTGGGTTGAAGGAGTGGCTGTGGGGAGAAGACAGGGAGTAAACCCTGGGGCACATCCAGCCTCCCGCCGGGCCCTGGCCCTCACACCCCCAGACAGACCTCTGCCCTCCATTATCAGACTAAGATTGGATACAGAGCGGGGACAATTTTTCTCCCTTCACAGAAGAAGAAAACCAAGCCCTGAGCTACCAACAGCCATCAGCAGCAGGACGCAGCCTTCCTGGCACACGGCCTAGTGACCCATTCCATTCACCAACCTGATGGCCCTGTTCCAAGTTCCCGTGTCCACAAATAGACACTTACATGGCCCTGGACCAAGACTTGGTGATGGGTGACTTGAAGGGGAGCTCATCGATGACGGTATTGTTTCTCAGGTCAAGTGGTGTTGGCTTCGCTGCAGCAGGAACAGAAAGTCATCAGCCAATGATGATAATGCCACACATACAGACACTTACACGTGACACACAAGTGCATTTATGAATCATTCCTATTCATCCCAGTTGTTCAGGGGGAGACTGAAGCTCTCAGCAAGGTTACACAATCTCTGCCCATGCTGACAGGCCCTGAAGCCATGTCTTCAGATTCCAGATTTTATATTCTTCGCACCGTACCTATGGTAATCATACTTTCGGAACCTAAAGTGGGGACACAGGGTGTGACAACAGACTGTTTTCCGTGGATTTGTGACTGCATATGAAGACAAGAGATGATATTTGAAACATCATAGAGAAGGCCACCATGACTGCCCCCTGCCCACCAGGACTGTGGAGCCTTCAGTGGAGGAAGGTGAACGTCACAAAGTCCTGAAGCCTTCAATCCAAATGCTGAGATCTGCATTCTCTGTTGGCCAGCCTGAAGGGGACTTAGGTCTGTCCAGTGACTCTACTTCTCCCTTTGAATCCCTGCCACTGATCCAGGCCTGCAGAATGAGGTCGAGGCAGACCTGACACTTGCACTGCAGCACTTCTTCCTGGTCTAAATGCAGAGGGCACAGAGCTAACTTTACTGAACACCTGCCATGCAGTAGAGTCAATGTCCTAGATGCTTTCCTTCTCACCAAACCTGGAAGGCAGGCATGACTATCCCCACTTCACAGATAAGAAAACGGAGGCTCAGAGAATTTACATGATCTACTCAAAGTCACACACCTAGGAAGTGCTGGGTAAGGATTCCAACCCACATCTACCTGGTTTGAAAGCTCAATCCTTTCGATTATAGCATAGTGTATCTTTTCATGGACTGCTCTGTCAGTTCTACCTTGCCCAGCCCCAGAGTTAATACAAATACCTCATCCTTGAATTACATCTCATACATTATGAAGCACTTTTAGATGTATTATCTATGTCCTTCAATGCCTCTGGGAGGTACGTTTTACACTTCCCATTTCACAGATGAGAAATAAGGCACAGAGACACAGGATCATTTGTTTATAATCACATGTTAGCAGGTGGCAGGGCTGGCACCTGAATCCATCCTGTCTTTCTGATTCCGGCACTCTTTCTGCTCATCAAGGGTCCTCAAGAGCCAGTCCCTAGGGTGCCAGACCACTGGGATGAATTTGGTGTGTGTGTGTGTGTGTGTGTGTGTGTGTGTGTGTGTGTGTGAGAGTGTGTGTGTGAGAGTGTGTGTATGTGAGAGAGAGGGAGAGAGAGAGAGAGAGAGAGAGAGAGGGAGAGAGAGAGAGAGAGAGAGAGAGAGAGAGAGAGAGAGAGAGAGAGAGAGAGAGAGAGAGTGGTGTGTGTGTGTGTGTGTGTGTGTGTGTGTTTGGGTTGGTTTAGGCCCCAGAGGCTGCCACTTCCTTGCAAGAAAAGTTTAGGATCCACCCAATCCCTAAATGAATGCAAACAGTCCCTGAACATTGTCCAGAGATGGAACGAGGAAACAGTGGACTTACCTTTCCGGTCAGGTTTGAGGTTGCGGTTGACAGGGGGTGGCTGGATCTCACTCGCTCGGCTGGAGCCTCGGTGCATAGGAAGGGCTGAGGTGGGGTAGCCAAGCGGGTCAAAGTGATGGGGCCCCGGGCTCATGGGGATGTAGACACTCTGGGGATTATCACCTGCTCGCTCCAGGGCCAGCAGGGTGGAGGAGCCCGGATTCATAGGCACGTAGTTGTCTTCGGAATTGGTGCTATCCGATCGGCCTACAGCTGTTTTCCCTGGCTAGGAGTGAAAAGAAATACTGCTGGACCCTGGGAAAAACAACTAAGAAAGCAGAGGAGGAGACAGGAAGAAATGAGGCCTGTGGGTCTCTTCCAGCTTCCATGATCCCTTGGAGCTTACTTATAACTTGTGATAAATCTTTACTATAAAGTATCCACGAGGCGTTCTGAATGCCTGACCAAGCAGTGCTTTGGTTCAGGACCCTCCCTCTTCCTCAGGTCCGGACTCATCACTGGCAGGGCAGCACCTGCCACTGGCAGGGCAAGGAGCGTTAAGAGAAGCCTTGGCCCTGGCACGTGAGGTCTGGGGCAGGCGTGCTTCCCCAACCCAGCTTTCAGTGTGACTGCCGGGCTGCAGTCAGAGCTGCCACGGGGCTGTACAATGCAGCTACCCTGGCCACAGCCTTCCTTTAACTCCTGCCTTGTCTTTCCAGACGCACAACGAAGCTGCTTTTGCTTCTGTTACCTGGTTTCACAGTCCTTCCAGTGGGCCTGAAGCCAGGCCCTAGTCAGCTTAGCTGGGCCCGACACCTCGGAGAGCTGTCATCAGCCCCTCCTCAGGGCAGCCTGGGATCCCGCACGCAAACCGTAATTCTGCCTCTGAGCACCACCCCTGCCTGGTGAGACCTCACGGCAAGGATGCTGCCTTAGAGCCGCCATCCCAGCGCCTGGGTCCTCTGCATCCTGGACCCTTCCTGCTTACCCCCAGTGATGAGCCTTACAGGCTAGTGCACCTAAGTACACACACTTCTTCCAGATCAGGATACCTGCCTATGACTTTCCAAAAACTCAACCCAGGGTTCTGAACTGAGACAAGAATCCAGGCAGGCTCCTAAGAGGGAGATGCCATCATGCTTTGGGGCTGTGTTTTTAGTTCCATGCGTGTGACCTTTAATCCACCTGAGCTGACTTAAGGACCCCTGGCTAAACCCCACTCACCAGAAAAGCGCTGACTGCATCACTCACGGACTCGGTGGACCGGCCCGCATTGTCTCCACCACGCTGGGGGTAGTCGTAGGACTCGCAGGAAGAAGCTACGACAGAGGAAGGAAGATCCATGTGCACTCACTGGAGTCAATCCCTGTGTTGACACTTCCCCACACCCTCACCAGTGTGGCTCAGAGTCTTACTGATACTCCGAAGATACTGCTCTCAACCCCTAATGATAAGGGATCGCTTCTATCATATCTCCTCAGCTCACAAATTCCTCCCAGGCTTCTGGATGTAGCTCCAGTGTGAGCAGATGCCAAATGAAAGGAATTAATATTATTCTACTTTTTCATCAAACAGAGGAGCTTATATGCAGAGTTGGAACACTCTCAGTGGGAAATCAGCAACAGAATTTAATACTTCAGACAGACGTTCAGACTTTAACCAGAGATTCAAATGTGGCTTAGAAAATATTTTGTAGATTTGATTTTAAAAGTCTGTTGGTCCACATAGGTTTGGCTCCAGTTTGGACTAGGCTTCTAAATTTATTTTTGAAATCTTTGGTTTGATTTATAAATGAATAAAAGACCGTGATTTGGACCTCTAAAGCCATAATATGTTGTACTGTGGTTAGCCAAGAATGTTCTACCTCCCTAGTAGAGCAGTAACTTCTCTCAGGCAGGGTCTGCTGAACTCTTGCCATTGTGGTGTCTACTAATAGCCTCCAGTGCTGGAGGACAAACTAGGAAAGGTCTGGGTAGAAGATGCCTAAACCTGTATCACAGGTCCCCTGGGTGGGACTTAAGTCTCCTTGGCACGGATGACCAAGAACCAGCACACGACGGAGAACCCCTGTGCTGCCTCCCTTGCCCCCGGCCTCAGCAAGGGCTCACACTGACCTCGGTGAAGTCGGCTGTTGTCCATGGCTGGGAGGGTATTGCGCCTGGGGATGGTTGCAGCGGCAGAGGCCGATCTGCTGCTATCACCGACTGGAGGCCTCTGCTGAGGGCTGCCCCATCGAGGTGTTTCTGCCTGACTTGGCTTGGGGGGCCGGGGTGGGGGGGCTACGGCCGAGTCCCCAGGAGTGGCGACTGCCATGGTGTTGTGGTTCTTGTCCAGGGTGAATGTCCTAGGGATCTGGTAGGCTGAGAGTGGGGTGGCCGGAACATCCATATTATCCACCAGGAGGTCCCCAAACTCACGGCACAGGGTGTTGCTGGGCATCTTGAAGGTGTACACATCCTCGTTATCCGTCTCAGAGCCTGTGAGGCTGCCCTTGGTGTGGCCATGGGAGGCCAGGCTCCGGGGGAGGTCGTAGGTACTGTCTCTGAATTCTGTATTGTGCCTGCTTGGCTTGGGGAGGCTGTAGAAGCCATGGACTTGACCACTGACCCCGTTGACACAGTGTCCGTTGCCCTGGGCAAGTTTTTGCACGGCCGTGTCGCTCCTCATGAGAAACGAGGCCCTGGTGCCCTGAGAGAAGCTGGCGCTCCTAAGAGACAGAAAGAAGGGGGTGCAGGGGTTAGAGGAGGCCAGGGCTGCCCACCAGAGAGGCAAGCGGGCCTGTTCAAACCCTGTGCAGCTAGGTGGTGTGGAACACACCGGCTGAGGAGGCTGGCAGGCCTGAGGGTTATCTGGGCAAGGCATGTTTTCTCTCTGAGCTTTAGTAAATGCGTCTGCAAAAATGGTGATTAAAATCATGCTTTGAAGGTTGCTTAGAAATTGGACTCCAGTGTATCTAGTAAGTATATGTTCAGTGTTAGCCTTTATCCCTTCCCCTACTCCCAAATGGCTGTGATTAGCAGAGGTTGGTCTTACCTCCCCAAATATATATCAACAAGCTAGTTATACCACACACTTGTTTATTGTTTTAAGTGCCACAAAATATATGCATTCGTATACAAAGGCTGTGAGATAGCGGAAAGAACCCTTAAGTTGGTATCAGAAAATAGCAAGTCATTTTATCTGAGTCTCAGTTTTCCCACTGTAAAACAAGTCAGCTAATGTATTGTTCTAAGTTATACAGAACTATTCAAATGTAAGCCATAGATTTATTTTCTATCATATATTATGGTTCATTGAGAGGCATTTAGAGGGGAAAATATCTCTTTCCAGAAGACTAAAATTCTACAGGAAAAATGTTTTCCTGTTTGGGAACTATATTCAGGACAGAAAAGGTTTTGATTATTACTTTTTAAAAATTCATGTTTTGGGGAAATAAGATTTAAAAAGTAAAACGATCTGGGGGGGGGCGGGCGGCGAAGGGATTTGTGCAGGTTCCATTTCCACCACTGATATGCTCTGTGGGCTTCACCAAGTCTCCTTCCCCAAGGCAGGACCTGGTGTGTCTCAATAGCTCTTAAGGGTCCATCTGGTTCTGAAACTCCACAACCCTTTGGGTGTATTAGCCGGGTTTCCAAACTGGATTCTGTGTTCTGCGTAGGTGCCTTAGGAAATTAGAAGGTGATGTTCTGAGCAAGTAGAGATTCAGGTCTGCTTTTCTCTTACAGTATGATTCTTCACAGGATTCCATTTGGCGGAAATAAAGGAATCACTATTCTAGAACTATCATTTAGTGGTGATTCTCAGCTTTTTGGAGGCTATATGCCTCTTTAAGAATCTGATAAAAAGCTCTTGGCACTTCTCACCAGAATAAGGCAAGTCTCACATACATACAAATTTGCATGCTATCTCTAAGGGGGGTGGGCAGCTCTTAACCCACCGAGGCCAATCCATGGAACTTGGGTCTTATACAAACTCTCTCAGCTCATGGGGAGCTTGTTATTTGTGGATGTGGCCACCAGATGGTGATAGAAAATAAGGCCCATCAGCTTAGAAAGAGGAAGGGAAACAGGTGTCTAAGCAGCCAAGCTCTCTCTTGTGTAAACTTGCATCCTTGATGGCTAGGACTTCCATTTCCGTCCCCAAACCTTCCGCGGCCCTCCTCTCTGGTCCTCCGTATTCTCTCTCCCTTCCTATTTCATTCCACACGCATAACCAAGGCGACAGGCATGGCCTAGATCATTGAACATCTAGCCTTTAGATAACGAAGTGCCTGAAGCAGAGGACCAGGGAGCCAACGGTAGACGTAAGGTGTTCACATTGTTCACATCTGTCCGTTTGTCTTTGGTGCCTTTCATTTTGTCTTTTGGAATTTCCAATGCTGGTGGATGCCCTATCTGGATTTGTTCATTTAAAAAACATTTACGGATGTCCTACTTTCCACCTGGGCCAGGCACAATGGATACAGAGAAGCCTCCTGCCCTGGGGGAGGGGGGCACAGTGGTAGAGGAGTTGACACGCATGCAAATCTTTTTTTTTTTTTTTAAATAAATTTATTTATTTATTTTTGGCTGCATCGGGTCTTCGTTGCTGCGCGCGGGCTTTTCTCTAGTTGTGGTGAGTGGGGGCTACTCTTTGTTGCGGTGCGTGGGCTTCTCATTGCAGTGGGCTTCTCGTTGCGAAGCACGGGCTCTAGGCACGCAGTCTGCAGTAGTTGTGGCTCGCGGGCTCTAGAGCGCGGGCTCTAGAGTGCAGGCTCAGTAGTTGTGGCGCACGGGCTTAGTTGCTCCGCGGCATGTGGGCTCTTCCCGGACCAGGGATCGAACCCATGTCCCCTGCATTGGCAGGCAGATCCTTAACCATTGCGCCACCAGGGAAGTCCCTTTGCCTGCCAATCTTACAATCAAGCCAGTGAGTAAGCGGCTGTTGACAGATTTATACCAACCCTCCCTGGTGGTGGTGGTACAGAATGCCAGGGGAGGCCTCTCCAAAGATGTCACCTCTAGCTGACTCTGGCAACTGGCCTGGCATAAGGCAAGAGAAGGGAAAAGGTGTTCCAGTTAGAGGGACACAGAAGTAGAACACAATCTGGCAAGTTCAAGGAACCGCAAGCTGCTCAGGCTGGAGCAAGTGCCTTAGGAGGCGGGGCTGAGAGATGACCGTGGAGGGGCCAGGCCTGGGCTGATGAGAATGGGAGTCCTTGAAAGATTTTAAGGTGGTGCAGGGGTGGGGAGAGCACTGCAGGTATACTGCAGTCACCTTAAACATATGCAATCATCATCGTCCTCCTGACGCTCCAGTCTGGGAAAGGCACCAGCCACTCAAGCCGAAACCTGGAGTTACCTTATGATTTCTCACTCAGTAATCACATCAGGTCCTATTGAATGCACCCCAGTTCAGGTCCTCCTGATTTTCTCCTGCAATAACGAAAGGGGTAATAACTCGTCTCCCGACCGTCAGCCTAGGACCTCTCTGATCCTCTTTATCCCGCTCACATTTACTTTCTTAACTTCCCAGCTTAACCATTTTCAAAACTGCCTCAATGCCTTTAGGACCGAGTCATATTCCAACACCAACTCACCTCTCCAATCTCTCCTCCCCAGTTCCCCTTCCCACTCTAGGGTCCACTCAGTCAGCTGCCCAGGTGTTCCCGTATGCCCCAGGCAGCCAGGCCCCCGTGCCTTGTTGTGCTGTTTGCTCTGTCTGGAAGGCCTCTTACTCCAGTCTGGCGAGCTCATACTCAGCTCAAATGGCACATCTTCTGAAGCTGTTTCTTACATCCTCTACCTCCCAGCGCAAGCAATCACTTGCTCAACTCTGTTCCTGGAGCAGGCGGCAACTGTTATCTGTGTTACGCACCATTGTTACTTATCTCCTCCATCAGACTGTGATTTCCTCGAGGAAAGAAGAAACTGTGTCTTATTCATTTCTCTCATCTGCACCGGGATCAGTGCTTGTCACATAGTAAACAGTGAATAAATGTTTGTTGAATAAACAAGCAAATGAATGTACAAAGAAAGAAAGAAAGAAAAGCGTTGGTGCTGCTGTGCCCTTTCCTGAGCTTGGCCTGAACCCTCTGGAACAGCAGATTGAAACCCCTCCTCTTCAGAACACATGAGCTCATGTCCCAACCTCCCGCTGTCGTGGCATCTCCTCTCCAGTCACAGAACTACTCGCTCATCCCTAAACACTCTCCCTGAGCTCCAGCCCTGGGCTTGCATAATTTACCTTTCTCTGGAATGTTTCCCTGATACACCAAAATCTTACACAAAGCGCCAAAGAAGCCTTTTTGCTCCACGATGGTGTTTTAGGTCCTCTAAGTCTCCTTGTCATTTTACTCACCACTCCTCCTTTGCTCCCACAGCACTCTGCTTCCATCACAGCACTCATCTTGTGTGAAATCTCTTTGGGTCTGTGTCTTTCCACTCCTACCTGACCCTGTGCTTCTAGAAGGCAGGGCACCATATCCTGTCCCCTGGCATAGTTCCTGGCATGTGGTAGATGATACCGATGCACGCTGAGGGGGACTGACCATTACTTCAAGAGTCAGGTGAAAGGAGTTGAACAAGGGAAACAAACTTGCCCAAAGGTATACACTTGGACGGTAGCAGAACTGGTTCCAGCACCCAGGTCCCTGGACTCCCTGCCCAAAACCCACACGGCTACAGTGCGCTCCCTTTGGACAAGAATCAAGAGGGGGAATTCTGAGCGCTTAGAAGTCCTGCGGCCTTTACTGCTTTCACGTAGGCCTTTACTGAGGCCTGTGCCACCATGATGTGCTGAGTTGCTTTCTGGGACAGATACCTGGAAGCAGTGGATTTGGAGAAAGGTTTCTCTTCCAGGGCTCTGGGCTGACAGAGGCCTCATACTGTACCAGGCACATCACATGTGATGTAGCTTTTAATCCTCCTGACAGTTCTGAGAGACAGGTATTACCCTCACACATCCGGTGAGGAGAAACGATAAATGGCAGACATGGTGCCAGAAGATACTCGAACACAAGTGTATAGGGGAGCTCCCTGGGGGCAGAGAGAAGTTTGGGAGAAAATGCTCCCCCAAGCCCAGCAGCTTTTCCTTTCCATTCCTGGCTCCCAGCTGCTCCCAGAGCCCCAGGTGGATGGGGCTATCACACCACCACTTGTACATGCTTTGGTTTTAATATCAACCCAAACCTCTCTCTTGGCTGTTAGGAATGCTTTCCTAGTTCTTCCCAGCCACTTTATTTTGTACATTTTCTCATGTTATGGTAACATACTACACCACAGTTTCACTCCTTCCACTCTACAAGATGCCAAGTACCTTATAACAATAAAGGGCCAGTTTAATTTTTTTTCTGCTATTTTTTTAAATTGGAGTATAATTGAATGCTTGTAAGTAAACTAGCCACCATTTAGAGTTCTGTACCTGTCACTGGCAATCCTAAGAGGTCATTTGGACCATCCTTCTGTATCTGACTCATTCCAAATGGATCCTTCCTGTGAGGGAAGAAAACTCAGAAAATTCTGTCCCACAATCTCTAAGAGGTGAGGTGATCTTTGTATCTCAAACTCTTCTGGCTGCAATATTGAGCCTGCGTTCTCTCTGTGGTTACAGAGAGAAGCTGTATATGTGAAATTAAATGAAGGTAAAAGCTGTATATTCTGCCTTTGGTCAATCAAAGCCACTGGGAGAATGAGCCTTAGAAATGATTAATCACAGGTAAGTTCTCCA